AGGCGCTCTGCTTCGGATGCGTCAGGCGCGCACAAAGAGCGGCGAGCCTTCATCATGCTGGCGCAGCCGCTCCTCATGGCATTGCCCAGAAAAGGATACTTATAAACATTACTAATCGACTAACTCAAGTGCGCGAATAATAGAGTTAAACAGTAGGGGGACAGTGTGAGACTAGAATAAAGGATACTTCCCATAGAGACTCTCGCTATCAATTGAAATGAAGGAAACAAATCTGAGCATAAGAGGGTGAAGCAAAGGAAAGGAAGTATCTCTGCATGAACTATTCTCGATGGGCGGCCAGCTGGCAGAAGTAGCACATAAAACATTATACCTATAACAGGCTTAGACACGATTTACTGATCATTCGTTTTTGTTTTTTTGTGTTTTTAGTGTTTTTTTGTTTTTTTTTCTTTTATAAGGTATACCTGTTGAAAACTACTACTTGAGCTCACTTGTGGACCATTGACGCCGCAAAACTTCACTTCATGAACTAAACTTAACACCACGATTTTTAACGTCCCGAACAACGCATCAACATAGGAGGCCTCAAAACACTTCGATACTGCAACACTTCGACTACTACACTTCGGCGGCGACAATAACCACTACTACTACTACTGTCCACTAGGGTGCACCCTACATAACGACCTGAACTCATAATATCTCGAAACAACACTCGCGGGACGGACCATTCTTCTCAACTTCACTTGAACAACCCTCGGCCGGAACTTTCACTTTGAGCTCAAACGACTGTTTAGACCCTAGTCAAGGGTGCGCGCGATTCGAATTTTCGAATGGACAAAGAATACCGTATTCCTTTAGACCGCCTCTGGAAAGTTGTTGACGTTCCGGCGGCAGTTCACATGCCAGCTGTGCAAGATGAACTTTACAAATTCCCTCCAAAAAAGAATGGCAGCAGGGAACGGCTTTCAAAACTTACACTATGTTACGGTATTCTCTACCCAAAGTCAACCGGAGGGGCAAAAATCTTCTCAAGGTGAACAGAAAGAGAAAACCTAACGAGTGGCCACTCAGAAGGCCCAAACAACCAAAACGTGGAGAAAATTTATCTTAACCCTGTCTTATCCTAAGAGAGGGGTGAACCACTCGCTGCCACCAGTAAGCGAGCGCGCCCAGCGGAAGTTGCGATCGCTAAGGTCACCTTGTCCTAACACCATTTGAGTAATAAGAGTTTATCCTTATAACACAAATACAACATGAGCAACAAGAGAAGCAACAAAGATAATGAGGTGCACACGACAGGAGAAACATGAAGGGGACTGGTGACCGGGAGTCAGGTATTGTATCTTTTCTGGATAGTACAGGGAATCGCCCCAGTTGGAGAAACGGACGTTAGCCGCGACACTCGGTCCGTGTAGCCGGTGGACTGCTTAAGCTTCCTCGTCGTCGCTAGGCCACGCCCTGAAAGTCGAAGCTGAGTCGAATCCTCATCATATGCTCACGTCCCTTACAAGACGACTGACGACGAAATACTGCCGACTGACTGCAGGCGCGGGCTCGCTCGGTATCTTTCCGCGCTTCTAGAACATTCCACTATTTGAGCATTACGCGCTGCGGTCCTGCTTTGGAGCACGGTTTCTTCCCAGTGCACCACGGGCTTCACGGTCGCACGTAAGTCGCGACACGCGGTAACACCCAATGCGGAGCTCTGACGACCGTCCAACAAATGTTTAAGTTGCTATGTGCCATGGGGAAAGGACCGTAATAAATGACAATGCGCAGAAGAGGTCATATGTAAGTCACGACAGGTAGGAGCCAGTTGGCTTGAGCAGCCACGACGATGGGTCGGCGCGTAGCCTGGTGGCTATAGTGACAATCACGACGAGGACCATGTCAAGAATGGCTGCTTTTATAGCTTGACTTGTGCATCAACAGCTGACGAATGACTCAGCAATATGTGCTCCCCTGTGCCACTATCAACACGAGAATAAATAGCAATATGTACAGAATAAAACAGCAGCCCAAATAAAGGTATGAGTATTAAGAATTTGAATAGGAGTTAGACAGTGAATACAAGAATAATTCCAACGACGACCTGATGTGGATCGGCCCGTCATTGCACTGGCGCGCGCATTCAACTCCCCTTCGGCGCGAAAATAATTCAAATCCCAGTATATTGCGGGCTCGTCCAACGCTATACTAAGTTACAAGGCTACTTGTTTTCGATCGTTGCGTCTTTTATGGAAAGAAGTTAAGAATCCCATTTTTTCATTGTTTACTGTTTAACATTTGAAGTGAATTCGCAGCTCTTTTTTTCCATTAGCCCATTGCAGTAGAAAGATTTGGTGCAGACTCTATTGCGCCTCTTATCTTTCACAATATAATTTGGGGATTTTTCAGAGATTTCAAGGATTTATAAAACAGAGTAGAAGCTCCTTGTTTCATGTACCAAATGAGAGTTTACAAGTTTAGCCAATATTAAAACTTCTACAAGTTCGAAGTACAGCACAATCCCGATGCTGTTTGACTCTCAGTAAATTCTTCAGCGACTTGTCAGTTGAAACCTGTGCTTATTAATAAGGCTGTAGTTATCAGAAACTGTTGTCCCCCCACCAGCACATTCACATCGTGGTATGAAATGGTTTCTTTTAGAGCAGCTTGTACGTAGAGCGTGGATGACATGGAAAAGATTCATCAGGGCCGATAAAACTTCTTTATTTCAGTCACTCCAGCCACGCCATTCCTCATCGTAAGCAAACTCCCGCGTTTTCGATATTTCACCAGTTTTCTGAAGCTTTCTCAAAAACTTAATTATTGTGTTGCAATGAATTCAGCGAAGGAAAATGTGGAGCAGGTTGAATGGACCCCGAATTCCAGGTCTCTCATTCCTTCATTCGTAGCCTTCTTTTCCCTTTACAAAGATACGATTTTGTAAGAACGGCTAAAATGGTTATTCCAGGGTTCCATTTTTGGAGCTGGCTACAACATTCGAAAAGATTGAAAGTGAGAGCAAGCGGTGAGTTAACGTGATGGCATTTTACTACTTGCAAGTTCCTTTAAATCGAGCTGACTTTTAATAAACATGACTGGAGAAACTCTTGATTATTTTTACTCAGGAATAAGATTTTATAACATTTTAAGTTTTGCTATACTTCGTATTTTTATAGAACGAAAATCGTCGATGTTCTCGCAGGTTTTTTCACCAAAGTAATAGAATACTCTCCGGATGACTTGCTGAGCTGTGTATATCTGTGTGTAAACAAGTTGGGTCCCGCTTATGAGGGCATTGAACTTGGAATTGCCGAGCACACCATAATCAAGGTAATTTATTGTTACGTTCCCGAGTTCTCAGTAAGGCAAGTAAATATGTGCCATCTGCAACCACAGGGGGGTAGAGGCACATATTTGCTTGTTTTATTCAAAGCATAGTGCTTATATGTACACATCAGGCCTAAGCTTTGAAATCGAATGTTTCATATTCGTTCAAGTGGATTTGGTTCCTGACGATTACTTTACTTAACGTTGCACGGAAAGCATCCTCAGTGCGCATATTCCATGATCTTTACTTTCCCTTCCTAGTTTAATCCGCTTATATTATACTCCTTATGTATTTTAACTTAAGGCAGTCGCGCAAGCTACTGGGAGGACAGTGGCTAGTGTGAAAGCAGACATGCAGAAGAAGGGCGATCTCGGTAACTTTTTCATCGTTACCATTTCTTGCTATTACTTTTGCACTAACTAATTTAGTATGAAAAGCAACAGTTCAGTCTGAACTAGTTTTATCATTTAAATTTATATTTGTATTTTCTCTTTTGGTCAGCTCCACAGGACTCACTACACAGTAGCCTTATAGGCATCGTTGCCCAACAGTCGCGTCAAAATCAGAGGTCACTCGGCAGTACTTTTGGGTTCCGATCAAAGCCCCACAGTGTGCAAAGTATTTTCCAGAAATTAACCGAAATCGCTAAGCTCACTGGAGCAGCCGTTAGTTTATCTTCTAAAATTAGTTCCATATTTCATCTTTTTCTTTCAGAAGCTTTCATGTTGTATTTTAGTCGATGAATAAGAAAGTTGAACTGATAAAAGGTCTCGTAGTGACTTGCCGAGGACCGGAGACGCGTTACCTCGTTCGAGCCCTGGGTGGGAAGCTTCGAATAGGACTTGCTGAACAAAGCGTTCTCGTTGCGTTAGCAAACGCTTTTACTTCATCTCATATCAAGAGCAAAGGTAATTATTCGGCTTGTTAATCTAATTTTGGTTTTCTCATCATGATAGTAAATTATTAATTGATAACATTTGCAGTAGTTTTACTTATTCTAATAAGGGCTGTAACTGTGGAGCAGATTTTCATTCATTTATAATAGTTGTGTTTTTACAAAATGCAGCGCGATTCGATTGAAAAACGAGCTCATCGAAACATGTTGATATAGGATGAAATTCAGTGAATTAAAGGGAGAATTAATCTGACCTCAAGTCATGGGACTAACAGTGATCCTAATGCAACTTCGTTGGACGGAGCGCCCCTCTGACAGCTTTAACGAAATTTTGTCTAAACATTGCTATCAAAAGGATTTTTTCGTGATCTTAGCCTGACTTACGTCATTCATTTCGAGTATTTGGAAACGTTTTCTATCGAGAATTACAAAAGCTTCCATAAAACCAGTGCCGAGTGGCTTCGTGGCTTCGCGTTTGTTGATGTATGGTTATTTGGTCGATACTCTCAATCAAAACGGCTCTCTGATGCTTCGAGGGTATTTAGTTTGTACTAGGTTTGTCTAATAACTTTTATGTAGAACTGTAATGATAGCTGAATGTGTTCTCTGCCTANAGTGCAAGTAATTCGCAATAGGTTCTTGCACTATCTGTAACTTCGGATTTCATAATACAGACAGAGTACATATTTAGCTATCATTACAGTAGAGCATAGAAGTGAAGTGCATAGTTGGTACTCAAGACGATCGGTGCGTCGAAAATCTTACCTTTAAACTTCAAGGCCTCTTTAGGTCCATGTCGCTCAAAGCCTGAAACAAATAATGAACTGTAAATCGATTCTCTGTCATAAGGACCATCATCAAGAGCTATTCACTCGGTCATGTGTGAAAGACGTGGTCACAAATTGTAGGCGTGAAAGACTCTTTTGTTTCAGTCGTTAGTTTGCCTTCGCCGCTTGCTAACACGCTGTAGAGGAGCCCCTTGAAAGTGTTAATACTGCGTGTAAGGAGGGAACTTCACTAAGCTCTTATAGAGTGAGCAGCCCATCTGTTCTAAGTGGGTTTGGTACACGCTGCTCTTTTGTAAAACGTTATTATGCAATTAGGTCAACCGGTTACCAGCTCATCGGATATCTTCTATACAGGGTTTCAGGAATAGCCTTCAGTCACTGTATACAGACTTTTTAAACCATCAAGTTTGGTTGTTTATGTGGTCTCTTCATCCTGTTATTGAAGGTCTGGAACTGTCACCTTCGAAGCTGGAAGAACTTAAAAGCGAACATGTTTTACTGCTGAAAACGGCATACTGGTATGTACTGTTTAGCGCCCGAGGTTTTTTATATTCTATATTTCTATTTTTTTTCATATTCTTTATTTATTTGTTTTTTCTGCAGTCAGTGCCCGAACTACGAGAAAATGATTTCTGTAGCGTTCTCAGACGGCATCGAGGGCGTTAAAGAGAAGTGCCAACTCACGCCAGGTACATCTGCTTATTTACTCATGAAACTTCTACCTGCGTGTCTATCTATATTTTAGGCGTCCCTCTTAAGCCTATGCTTGCTCACCCAACAAAAGGAATTGGTGAAATTATGGCGAGATTCGGGGAAGCGGAATTCGCTTGCGAATGGAAGTATGACGGGGAACGTGGGCAGGTCAGTATCATTTATTTCTTTGACTCCATTTCATTCTTGCTGCATCTTTCTTGTAGAAATCATCAGACTCTGTTCGTTTGTAGATTCATATGACGGATTCCGGTGCAGTCTACGTATACAGTCGTAACCAAGAGAACAACACTACCAAATACCCAGATATCACCGACAAGGTTGGCATAAATGAATGATCTGCTCTGCATGTTTAATCTGTCATGTTACTTGGGCAGCTGACAACTGCATGAGTATAAGCGTGTACCATATTGCCATTATTGCCATGAGTGTGTTTGTGAGGCAACTTATAGATAATCTTGGTCTTGGATTTATTTATATAGTAAGGAAAATGAATAGACGCTTTAGATTCGGACCTGTGCAAAACCTGACGTGTCCTCCTTTATTGCGGATGCCGAAATAGTCGCCTGGAATGCTGATACTAAATCAATCCTTCCGTTCCAAGTTCTCACTACCAGGAAACGAAAGGTTTTTTTCATTTCTTTTCCAATGGTTTGTCATATCCTTTTGACTCTTGATCCTTTTCAATCCCTTGATAGCTGCACGCTAAAAATGATAGCATTTAATATAATTAGGGCTTCTGTCAGTCTGATAGGCCGAACAGTTCTTTGTTGTTCTTTGTACTGTTGATAGATTGAATTGAAGGTTCTGAGTAGTCAGATTAGGCTTTTGAACTTACAATTTCCTGTTAGCACGGTTTCCAGGGATGCCGTACTAACAAGAATATCAGCCATAATTAGGCTTTTCACGATTGATTTTTATAGGCACAAAAGCTTTACTTTTTGCCTATATTTAATTTCTTTGTTTAGAATGCGGATGACGGTAACATCAAAGTGAAGGTTTGTGTATTCCTGTTCGACCTGCTCTACATCAATGGTGAACCACTTGTTACAAAACCTTTTCGCGAACGGCGATCGATACTGCAGAAAAACTTCACGGTTTGTGTTAAATCTTTCAAGGGCAAGTTCTTCTTTGAGCCTCGCTTTTTGAAAATTTTCCGTGGGGTTCTACATGGGGGGGGGGGCGTAAGTTTATTTTTGTTGTAAATGCAATCCAAGATGATAAGGAGCGGCGTGAACGGCCAAGATGTCTGCTCTAAGCTCGAATAAAATCCTGAAAAAATATGAAAAAAACCTTCGAATGACTGAAACAAAAACAGGGTGGTATATTCGAACGTGATCGAAAGTAGCTCATGCTCCAATTGGCCTAACCTTTTCTAGCCAAGCAGTACCCTACCGTCGGGTTCATTACCTCCGTACGGTAGGTCCTGCTGGTAGACAATTCGTGTGCCACGCTTCCTGTGTTTCCTACTGTGTTTCCTTGCGCTATTTTTGTTACTCATTTTTACCCGCTCTGTTGCGGTTTCTCTTCTTTTGAGTGGATGTTACGAAACTCGACCTAACACGCAGTATTCACTCCACTACTGAAATAAATAGAAGGTCAAAGTCTTAGGGCTTTAATCTATGTCGTCTGAGGGATACGCCCACACATTCTACTTCCATTCGGAATCATGGTGCCATATTGAATGAGTATGTGACCTATACAATGACTTGCGGAACCAGACGATTAAAAGTCAGTGCTTCTATTCTCTCAGGAGGGAGGGAAGGCTTGGTTGAAGTGCGCCACTTGCCTCAACTCCAGCTCCGCCTGAATAAAGAATTAATTTCTGTACTGCTATTTCTACTTTTCTTGGTGCTTGGTGTGAAGCTGATGATCAAGTCGTAAATAACTTTTTTGGTGCCGGCCCCCACAGTTCGAGTTGATGATACTTCACTCGTTACTCTTCAATGAATTAATTGGAGAACTAGAGTTTTAGGAAATGGAAGGACAGTTCACTTTTGCAAAAAGCCTCGACTCGACTAACACTGATGAAGTGAACGAGTTTTTCGAGGAAGCAATCAAGGTTTCTATAAATGCTCATTATTGCGTAACATGCATTTTAACCAACGTGTTTCTTTCTCCGCATCTCTCAATTTTTAGGGGAACTGCGAAGGCCTCATGATCAAAACGCTTGACGAGAACGCTACTTATGAAATAGCCAAGAGATCGCACAATTGGTTAAAGTTGAAGAAGGATTATTTGGATGGGATTGGAGACACCTTAGATCTTACTGTCATTGGTGCATATTTTGGGACAGGTTAGTTAACGCTTTCTTTCAAAATTTCTGCAAATTTAGGCATGCATTAGCATTGCCCGTTGAAAACTGTCTTATCGTTCTTAATGACATGTTTTCTTGTTTTCTACCGTTACATGTTCATGCTTTTCTTTGTTTTCTTCTGCGCCTATGCCTTTTTCACTAGCAGCTCTTTGCTTCCGTCTAGGGCAATTTAAATCATTTTAGACCGCTTGTTTCTTAATAGTTTCTTCTAATAGGGGCAGGTGAGGTAGAACAAAATGGAGCACTACCACATGCATGGTTTGGTTATCAACTCCCAGCCCTTCACATATTTCAGCCATATAAGCCATGTGTCTCTTGAGCCGGTTAATTGGTACCAGGATCTTGAAAAACTGGGGGAATTATTTCTTTATGCTTCCCCTTATATTCTTTCCCCGCTGTACGAGACGTTTTCCTCTACGTAATCAGTTCACGCTTCACTATCTTCTTTTTTCTAATCATTCTATTACTACTATTTTGTTCTTAAGATGTACTAATTTTCCGTCCTCATGATGTGTCATTGTTCTCAGTCTTCAATTCTGCAGTTTCTAGCTTTGCTACTGTCACATTTTTAAAATATATCTGCAGGGTTTCAGGAAAACGTACCGGTGTATACGGTGGCTATCTACTTGCGTGTTATAACCCAGTATCGGAAGAATATCAGAGCATCTGCAAGGTGAAGGGCGTGGCTTATACATTGAGATTTGTTTCTTGCAGTAGCGTTATAGTGAAGAAGCAGGACGCGTGACCAACCTAAGTTATGAAAGTCTTGTTATTAGGTACCTATCTCGACCACTGGAACTACAGTGTTCGGGTGCATACCGTTGCCGCTAATGAGACTAGATGCATTGCAGAGTCTGTTCCCTTTCCTACACAGTAAATGGTGCATATTCCTTGCGGGATTATATGTGGGTTAGTCCCTAACACGCTTGGTTAAGCCGGTGGTGCTCGGGCCAAGCACTCTTACAATTAGTTTCTTCGACTTATGATCTTCTTTAAGTCCCACAAGTATACATTGCGCGAAAGAGGTGGATCAAAGGGCGAGCGGAGAAGGTTTAGGAACATTGCGGGGCACACGGCGCAGTATGAAAATAGATGTCTATCAGTTGAGCAGTGCGCATATGTGGATGTTGAAAAAGAAAACAGTGATTAATAACGGGTCCAGCTTCAGCCATTTATGCTAGCATCTTACATGCTGTCGTATAATGTCGTATAAGTAATTTGAAGAATCTTGACTGCTGCGCTAATGCTTTAGTTTCTTTTAGACGTTCGTTACAGCTAGATTTTTTTATCTTTGCTATCGTGAAAGGGTTTACAATGTAGTAGTATGATAGCAACGAAAATTGCCTGTGTTTGATAACGTCTCGTCTACGACTCCTATAAAGTTACTCGAAGGTTGAAGCGTGAGGGCTTTAAGCTCTTTAACCTCCGATGAACTGTTGACAGACATGGAAGTTAAAGTTTCTAAGGAATCCCCCAAAAAATATGGGCTCACGAGTTTTTCTTCGAGATTGTTTTAGTCGGAGTGCGCGGTTGTCCAACCAACATCAAACTGTTGCGAAATTTCTTTGGGAGACTCTTCTAGTAGTTTCAAAATCTATATCCGTAAACAGAATTCCAAAGTGTATCGGTATGCTTCCGTTCCATTCAAAGTCCACAAGTGAGGCTGCAACCCTTTCCTGGTAAGTATTACGAAAATTGGGTTTGTACTGCATTTTAAGATATTAGAGCAACTACCGATTCCTTCAACAGCAGAAATTCCAGGAAAATCGAATAAAACTTGTACTCAACAGAGTATTTATTACCACAAAGAACCATTTATGTGTGCGCGGTCCAAAAAAGAAAAGTGTTTCAACATTGAGGACTATAACATCAAGCTTGAAGTTCAATAGAAAAACACAGATCCTCAGTCAATGTTTATTGTTTGTATCGACGTTTTTTCCAGATTGGAACTGGGTTCAGTGATGAAGATTTGAAGTCTCAATACGAGCTGCTTAAACCATTCGTTATCGAAAAGGTAAACGACAAGCATCCAAGCAGCTGTCGTAATCTTTAATGGGATCTCCGAGTTTAGTAGGTTTTTATACTTTTAGGCGCCATCTTACTACGCCTTTGATGATTCTTTGAAGCCTGATGTTTGGTTTGATGCCAACGTCGTTTTTGAAGTTAGTTCTTTCTTTCTTTCTTTCTTTCTTTCGAATTTTTTTTCTATAATTGACTGCTTCTTTTCTATTGATGTGGCAATATTCAGGTAAAGTGCGCTGACCTGTCTATATCACCTCGACATTGCGCAGCGTTTGGGATGGTAGAAAGCGAAAAGGGCATTTCGCTCAGATTCCCTCGATTTCTGCGAATAAGGTTTGTAAATAGAACTTCTAAATCAAAATTCCAGAGCCGATTCAGAAGAACCATTTGACCATTACGATGTAGACTATAAGTGTATGACAATCTCATGTTCTAAATCTGGTCTCTAGGGATGACAAGAATGCTGAAGATAGCACGACTGCAGAGGAAATTGTATCCATGTACATGAACCAGGATCAGATACGTAACACCAGAACACAAACGGAGGAAGAAGACGATATTGAGTATTAATGACGTTATTGTGCTGTTACGGGACACTTTTTACAGCTAATAACAGTTGTACCTCACTACCTCATACTTTAATCGAAACAACAGAAAAAATTATATTCGACAATTTAGGGTGTACTCGATTGTAAGCTTTGTGATCTCCATATATGTTCGTAGGCTGTTCACTTTTTACTGATAAATAGTCGACTTTATCAGAGTTTGAGATGTGCCTCAGGCCATGGCCCCCTCTTATCGGTGGTAAAAGTCATAGGTTACCGGTATACGCAACTCCTGCCCTGCGATCCTGCGTCCCAGCTGGGGAGGTTTGGGGACTCAGGGGTTACCATTAGAGGCGAGTGAAGTTTTTTTGCACCAAGTATACGTTCGACAACCGAGGGATTTCGAGAGTATTTTATTTGGCGGAGACGCGTTCCTATAGGGAGCCCACCTAGAACCGCGGCATGATCGGCCGCAGTTCTAGGTGTGCTCTCTCTGGGAACGCGCGGCTGCTCCAGATATCCTACTAATCCAGACTAGCAAAAGGAACTACATAATAAACAGTAGTGTGTATCAAATTTACTAAAACTTGTCAGATCGCCAAGCTAGATCAAGTTTCTCTCTTCCACTGACAAAGTAGTAATGCTTGGCTCACCCTCCAAAACTTGTTTCTCAACAACTGGTACACTCATGGTCACAAATTTTCTGGAGGGGAATGCCCGGAACTAGCAAATTCGATCCAAGCCTTTGAAGGTGAACTGTGTATAGATGGAGGAATGCAACTAGCATTGAGCTTATGGCGATAATTACGCTTAAGATTACGAAGCCCCGGTCTTTTATTCCTAATCTTAACGGTTACCAACCTTTCGCTTCCTTCGTACCAGTTAATGCTGTCGACTGTCGGTAACGCAAATTTTAAAAGGCGTCAGCAGCCGCTTTTATCTTTATGAACTGATCTCTTTACCGAGATTCCCAGATTATCGGTGGTTGGATAAATCTTGTCAGAGCTAATAAAGGAATCAGCAAAAGTTTGAACTCGGAGTCAGTGGCCAACCTCGAAAAGTAGTGATCTAAAAGCAAGGAGTTAATAAATTTTGCTCTTCTCATATGGTACTGACTTTATTCAGTCCTACCACTGCTATTAGCCCTTTATATCTACCTCAGAACCTGCTTATCACATGGAACATATTGAACTGTCAAGGCTACATAGTCAGTATGAGGAAAGAGACGGAAACTAAGTAAATCCTGCTCTATGAGATCGCCTACCAACCTACAGTAGCGCTCAAAAGTCTTCGGCGAAATGGCTCTTCAGCCGTACTTTTCAGTCGTAACCCCTTTCCTACTGGATGTAATCATGCGAAGCTTCTATATTTGGAGCGTGAGTGTATTGTGAATATTTACCACTATTATACCAAAATCTGATCGTGTTCCAGATGTTCTAAAGAGCATGAACTCAAAATCGACTGAAAATACATATGATGGTCCTTCTAGAATCTCTTTCTTTTCTGTCTTGTCTAAAGTGTAGGAGTGGTAATGCCGAAAACAAAAGATGAGAAAAACGCACATAAGGTGCGAATAAGTGTAGACGTCAACAACTTTACTTTTAGCAAAATTTGCTACCGCAACAAACACCTTGCTCTATCTGTGGATATTGCAACCTTGCAGTCAAATAGTGCTGGGTAGGGTGAAATAGGCTCTAGTTAAATATATCCAAATTTTGCGCGGTTTGGTCCACTAAGAAAAAAGTTATGAACAAAAAAGCGTCAAAGCATTTCACCGACGACTTTTGAGCGCTACTGTATATCGGCTGTTACCCTTTTCTGTCATCCGGTATGAGCTATATATTCACACCCTACATCACGCCTAAGCCAGCAAGGCTTCTTTGTTAATATGAAAACAAAGAGGGGTCCAGTGACATTGGTATTTCAACTACCACTACCTGCCCTGAAGAGTTGCTATCACTTTTTGTCTCCAATCTTCTGCGATCCTTTAAATTGGTTACATACTGAAAGGACATCTCCTTTATTCAGGTTTAACTGAAGACCACAGCCTTGTGACTTTTTAAAATCCCCACATTGACACAAAAAGTGCAAAGTCGGTTCAGAGACAGAAAGGTCTTCATAGACTTTCTGTTTGTGTACAAGTGCATAAAACGTAATCTGAGCTCTCAGAGACCTTAACTATAAGTCTCTTGTTTATTTAATCAGTGAATGGAATCATTGAAATTCACGGTAATCTACAGGAGCAAGTGCAGGTTGCGACGCAGTTGTCATCCTGTTGGTGCAAATTTTGATTCATTCTAAAGGCTTATAACACCCGCAAACGATCTTCGTTTTACAATCAAAGATAAGAATGCTGTCGCATCGCTGGAGTGCGCCTGATGGCGTAGTTTCGTTCTACGATTTATCTTAGACCCTACACGTCTTCATTGAATTTTAGAAAATACTTCTCTATCAAATCCATATGGAATATTTATTTTGCAAGATGTTCAATTTATTTTTTAGGGCTTAGGGATTCGTGTATTTTTGAGAATACAGCATAATATACTCTTCAAATTTGAGAGACTATGATTACCGAAATAGTTTTACTTATGTTCTTCTATCCGTGGACGTTAGCAGCACCTGTAATGGATGGTGACATGGAACTGCTTCTCGTACAAGTGGTAAGTGAGAACCAAATCTGTTCACTATTTTTTTCATTGGAACTGTCCCTTGATTCCCTCCCTCGGAGGGAGATCGGCGGGTATGAATGCACATATACATGAATAGAGAAGTATTTCTGAAAGGATAGAATAGGCCTAATGTCTCCCTGTAGGTCTTTAACAGAATAGGGATAGGTGCAAGAGTGCAAATGGAAGTGAATTTACGAATTATCTCCCCAAACTTACTGATAAGAGCTTTCTTCGACGGTAGTAGTGGTTCCAGGTGGTTATACTCGACAGATGTTAATATTGTACGGCTGCAAGTCACGTCATGTCTGAGATTATCTATTATATGAATTATGGTAGTGACCTTACACACCAAGCCCTATGCAAAACCATTGAGACGATCCGAAATGTGAAATTAGAGTTCGGTCGTTCTTGATTCATCTCGCACCATATTTGGGATAAAAGTAGGAAACGCCGATGAATGGCTGTCCATTTGCTAGACTAACTCTTAAGGATCTCGTATTTCCTTTGTCCCTTACCAATATGCAGTCATTTTTCTGGAATTGATAAAGTGATGGTCATTGGAACTGACCTGAGTTTTGGACTGCTTTCTGTTAGATGTCGTAGTAGATTTTCATTATTTCAGAATATATATTCTTAACTAATTTTCAAATTTTTTAAAAGTCCTTAGCCACTGAAATTTGTGTCAGCTGTACTGTCTCTTGTCCAGTTCATCATGGACTGGTCGAAAGGCCCAGTGGTAGGTTCTCAATTTGTCTAGTTCAACGTTGTCCGCTCGCTCGCTAAGAAGAACAATAGCATTCCTGTTGTTAGGAGCTTTCGTAGAAAGTTCAAGTATCGCGCTGGCTACTGTCTCGGAAGTCATTTGGCGCCGCGAGGAACTTATTGTTAGTCGGACACAGTTTCGGTTCAGGGGAATTTTTGATTCGAATTTGCCTGGGGCAGGGTGCGCGAGAAATAGGTTCGTGCTACAAATCCCATCCAGAGTAGTATGTTTTTCCCATAACTCTGCACCTTGGTAAAAACTGCGACGAGCGCTTTCGGTGCTAAGTGGGTTGGGGGGGACCACGTGAGCTGCGGCGCGGCACCCTGCGCTCTCCAGCGAGATAGTAGTGGGCCTGAGTCTGGAAAGGAATGGTAAGGTTGTACTGATGTGTTTCGTGATCCAGAACAAACAATATGCT